ACTTTCTGGCAGGGTGATATGAGGAGCAGAAAGGGCCTGGACTCTGTATAACGACGCCTCAGCAGTAACTAAAACATCCCTGTATTATCAACGCTGTTTTCAGTACAAATCCAAAACATAGCCCCATAATAGGTACTATGAAGAAAATTTACTCTATCCCAGCTGAAACCAGCACAGGCAGAACAAAAATGTTGGTGTGATTTAGGTGCCAGGAAATCCTGCTGCTTTGTGGAAATGACACTGTAATTTAGAATAAGAAATGTCTGCAAACAGCAATGGTTTTACAGGGAGTGGCCTTGTAGTTGCAGGAGGTTACCACCTTACATCCTTACACGGAGACAACCCTTGAAGAAATAGGGAATGTATTTTTTCAAATGCAGGAAAGATACAGAGTTGCTAAGTTGAGCATTTTCCTTGAGAAAACTTCAAACAGGCAGTAACCAAAGCAGGCTGACATGGCTGAGCCTTAGGATGTGATTCAGGTGTTTGATGGTAGGTATCTCAAAGAAGACCTGCAGATTCCTGTTTGGAGAATAGAGTATCAACTGAACATTTGTTATTAACTTTAAGGTAGTAGCTTAATTTGTTATTATAATTGATATGCTTATATGGGAGAGGGAGATCTGCCAAGAGCTGGTTTGAACTGGTTTTGTTATGTTATGAAAATATATGGAATACTGATGAGTTAGGGTTGCATGAATCAATTTTTCCTCAGAATCCTTGGCTCTGGGAGATTACTGAGCAGACAGCCCAAAGTCTCCTCTTGGAGAGAAACCAAACAATGCCATAACTATTTCTTGATTTCTACAGTAGCCTGGATTGTTTATCACTGGGAATTACTAGTCATAGTAATTACTAGTCACATTGTGTTTTGTGGTTGTTTTTCCAATGTAACAGCTAATTAGACAAATAGCCTGAATTCTCTGCTTATCTTACTTTTGCTGTATTCAGTTTCCTTATCTCTTCCAACCTATGGTGGCAAAGATTATGGGTGGCATAAAAACTGTGTGAGCCAACATAGGTAGGATGCAGGAACAACTACAAAACCATGGATGAAATGCAAAGAGTAAATTTAATCTCAATACCTGTGAACTGGGGAATATCCAAAGCACCACCTGGGCAGAGGCATGCAAGTGGGAACACAGGCACTGCAGAGCTCGGTCCTTACTAGAGAGAATCCTTGTTAGTGAGAGAGTCCTTGCTAGTGAGAGACAGAGACAGGGAGAGAGTCTGAACCTGCTGTTCTTGCCCGTATTTCAGGGATTCACGCAGGTGTAGTTTTCCACTGTGCTTTCACTTTTTCCAAAGCAGGGCAGGCCTCTCAAGCGTGTTCAATAAGCTGCCTCTGAGTCCATCACAGACCTGTGTTATCTCAGTGCAGATGTTCTACTTGTCAAGCACATAAGACTAAATGATGATTGGTGTGATATGTGGTTTTTTGACACCTCAGGTGCAAGTCAATTGATTACATTTACAATTCTCCTCGCTGATCTTCCATTACTTTCCCACAACAATATATTACCTAAGTAGATGATTTGAATGTTACAAGACCATTAAAGTGAAAGAAGAGAGATGGAAAGGATAGATAGGAGGAGAAAGGAAAGGAACCGTGAAGTTTCTTGCTGGCAGTGGTAGGGATGAATCAGAAAAAAGGGCAAATACTGTATCAAATGACAAAGGCATTCTAAAACTAATTATTTGTCATTGCTATTCTTTGATGTACCTGGGTTAGCTAGTAGTTTTTCTGAATCAGGTGAAAAATCTCATCCATATCAGGGTAAGAATTATGTTTCTGGTCTTCTTATGTTCAGGAATTGTGCTGCCTGACCCAGAACAAAGAAAACTGTCAGCTGCAGTGGGTGTCCTAAAGTAACATTGCACTATTACCAGCGTTGTAAAAAGAAATTACTACTGTAAAGTTAGCACAGTAAAACATGATTTGTCAAGGGAAGCAAAAAAAATCTGTGAAGATATACTTTAGGGTGAGAAGAAAGTAGATTAAAAATTGCATTGAAAGGAGAAAAGATGAAGGAAAAATCATGGGTTCACCTTATGAATGTTCTTCTCTAAAGCAGAACAGGAGACTGTTCAGTGTTAGCTGACATCTCAGTTGACAGCATGCTTTCAGTCAAGCCTCCAGGTGATCTTGCTGTGAATGTATGAATGTCTAATTAAAATCTGATATAATTGTTGTCCTGATAGTTTTGTCTTGAAATTTAGAACTTGTGTGTTTCATTACTATTTTCTTAGTATACTTTGACATATTTGAATACATTTTCGTTTGAAATAATGAAGTTAATAAGTATACCTGGACAAAAATGGTATTTAAACGGGTGAGGAGTAGAAAGGAGTCCCTAGTTTTGAAGAAAAAATTAGGTGCTTGGCCACTTCTTCTCCACATTTCTAATTCCCTTTCTACTTAGGCCTTCATAGCAGAGACTTGTGACCTGCCTGTGTATCTATTTTAGCATTAAAATGTTTTAGGGAAAAAAAAAAGTTAATTATGTAATATGTATTATTTCTCATGAGGGGCTTCCTAGTCCAATGTGAAAGCTATTGGACTGGCAGGCTTGCAACTAAGCCTGTAGGTGCAGCGTGAACACCAGCACTATGGAAACCTGTTCATGGTGTTTCATTTTCCTCATCTGCAAAATGGTATTGGCATTATTTGTAAAAAACTATATGGTCTGCAGGTAGAAAGTGCTCCCTGAGACACAGGTAACATTAATGGTCTCAGTAGGGTCTGGTCGTGTTAAGTTTGTATTGTATTTGTTACAGCATTGCAACATTCTGCTCAGTGCTGTTCTGCCACCCCATGTTCTCAGTCATTGTGACATTTCCCTCTGAAATTTCTTCAGGTTATGGAAATCCCCTATATTGCTCTTAAGACGGGCTTGTACCAATGGCACCCAGCAAAATAGCCTTCAGAAGTGCATGGTAAATCATTGGTAAAATATGTATATCAGCAGTTCTTAACCCCATCTTTCCTGTCATTCCCATAAACTCTGCTAGGATCTCTTTTTATAGTGCTGTGTGTTTTGATAAAGTTTTCATGAGTGAGGAACCATCCTTTCCTCCCCATTCTCTCCCAGCGCACACATGTTTTAGGGTAAATAATATGCCCAGCATCTCTTGGCTAGCGTTATACGGAGGAAGCAGAACCTCCTCGAAGGTCTTCCTTTTTCTTGTGAACTCACTGCCATGCACGGTTTCTTTTTCTGGGAGAGAACCCACTTATTTTATGTATATCAGAGTTGGTTACAGAATCAGTTTTAGGAGATTAATGCCAAAGAAATTAAAGCTAATTAAAGATTTGTACAGATTAATGGTCTTCTACATTTAGCTGTGCATTGTGTTTTACTGGGTAAAAGATAACCAGTAGACTTTGTTGGCACTGCAGTTATCTATTGAGCTTCACGGGATATCTGTGTCCTAGTCTATTCACACTGATACATGGCAAGAGAAGACAGATTATTTTCTTTTTCTGTTTGTGTACATTAACAATAGGCCTACTTAAACTGCACTTTCTCTCCCTGTTTTGCTGAAAGATCAGCTGGCCTGCATTAGTTAAGCGACAGTAACTTGATTGTGGAATGAACAGCCCTGGATCCAATAGCACAGACAGCCTTTTTGACAAGAGGGCAAAAATAGTTTCAGAATATTTTTCATCTGTGGCCATCCGTGTCTCCAAGTTCTTTCCCACTGTGTAGTTTAGACTTGGCTTTAGGGAAGGAATAATTTGAATGGAGGAGTTGTTTGGAAGGGAGTAAATAAGATGCTCAGATCTTAGCCATTGCAAAATCCATTTTGCCCTAACAATTTGTCTCCTGTTTTCCAAGTGTTATGATGATTGTTAAACTCAAGTGATGAAAGATACTGATCAGAATATTTTTAGCCTCAAGCATTCACAAAATAATGTGTTGTGCTCCCAGAAGATTGGCTTTAAATATCATAGGTTTTTAAAAACTCAGTGCAGTGAAGTGATGCTTTCAAGATTTTATTTCTTTAGCTGGAAAAACCTACTGACTGTGTTTAGTTTATATAATTTATATTTGAAAACATATTTTTTTTAAGCTAAGGGGTGGTGTTATGCAAGTACTAGGAATTAAGATAAAGCTGCAAAATGCAACTAAATAATTAAAACAAGAATTATTACATCTATGCACCAACAATAGCAAGCTAGAAGGAGTTAATGAAAGGCCTTGTTGCCTTTGCAGTTGTGGCTAAGCTTCTAATAAGAAATTGGCTGGCACGAAATACGGCAGCTGAAATTGGAAAGGGGCACTAGATGAAGAAGCTGCCTCTAGGAGAGGGTTAGAGAAACTGCAAAAAGAGCAATACTATGGGGAAGATTGCTGTGTGAAAAGAAAGGAGACTGAGGTTGCGAGGGAAGACATGCTTTCTTCTCAATATATGCCCTGTGGTTAAAACCCTGAAAGGAATGTGAGCTAGCATGCATTACCTTACTGCAAGAAGAAATGTAACAACGTCAGGATTTATTGAGGCTTGGGCTAAGGAACACTCAAGGCTAGATCTACTGCTCTGAGTTTGGATGACCCACCAGTTGTACAGAGAGATGGGATTAATGATAATGAAAGCACTACTGTGATGGCAACAGGGAGGTGTTACAGGTATTGGTGAAGCCCTGCAATGACATCTTCAGAAGATACTGTGAAGCCTTCTTTGTTTGGCTTTATGGGTCCAGCTGAGAGCTCTTGTATGAGGCTGAAAGGCTCATGCAGAAGCAGGAGAGGGGAAGGACTGAAGTTACTCTTTTCTAGTCTATGTAAAATGTATTGTGGTAATCTTGCTTGCCTTCATCCTGTCTTAAATTACTTAGATCATACTTTGATTAGTTCATGTCATACAGGTTTGAAACCTACATAGCTCAGGGCAAAAAGAAACACATCAGTACAACAGTAGGTTTTATTTTTGACAGAAAACTGAATTCAGTATTTCTTATTGTAACTCCACCTTCAATCTCTTTTCCTTCCATCTAGGCCATGTGTGTATACAATGGGATCACCAATAAACAACAGAGCCCTTTTCCCATGCCAAGAACCACCCGTTGCCTTGTCAACATGGCAAGCCTCAGTCCGAACAGCTGCAGGCTTTGTTGTGTTAATGAGCGGTGAAAACTCAGCAGAACCAGTCCAGCTTCCACAAGGTGAAATATATTTTCTATGGCAAATTATTTTCAATAATTTTATGAGAAATACAGGTTAGTATATATATGATTTTTGAAAGAATGAAGTTTCTAGCCTTAAAAGCACTTACATGTCTATCTGTAGTCTCCATGTCATTCTATGGAAGAGTTACCTGCTCAAGGCCTTAGGATAACTTAATAAGAATTCAAAACATCTACATTTCACTGTGTTACTGCTACTTATTTTTTTCTCTGTTTTTATTCCTTTTACTTCTTCCAAACTTAGATTTAACTAGTCATAAATTTGCTTTGTTTTAATCATTCTGCAGTTGAACAGTACATAGATGAAGTACCTTGTCAGGCTCTTGGCAATGTCAGGCCTTGGTAGGTAATTAACTTTCAGTTTTAGTTTTCCAGTCCAAGTGTAGCTCAGCATGGCAATGATCAGAAGCAGTCATTGTATTATATCTGTTTCCTGAAATATATGGAATAGATGAAGAATGTCAGGTCAGTGTTATGAAGAACTGGTCTTTGGTGGGTTTTTTGGCATTGGTATATCGTACCTTGTGCAACAGTAAGCAAGCAAGCAAGCAATCCTATTTCTTCTGTATTGGTTATGCTTCATTCTCTAAACCTCTTTCTTGCATGGACAAGGAAGCTTTTAAGGCAGTTCTGCACATAACAATACAAAGTATGTCTTGCTCCCATTAGTTTTGAGATAGTCTGTCAAACAGGGTCAGTATTTTCTAGTGTAAGTAGTTCTGATGAAAATAGTGTAGAAAGGTTAGAATTAGGTGTTTCTGGGGAAAAAAAATTCTTTTTTCTGTTCCCCTTTAAAGAGGCAAGTTTGTTCCTTGAGGGGGAAAAAAAAAAGAATGAAAGTCTCCTTGATTTGAAAACCATCAGTTAATCCATTTGCATGGAATTGTCTGGTTATTTTTGGCCAAATGTGAAGCCTGTTTCAAGCCTTGTCTCTGCTGCTGAAATATGGAAAACTGCCATAATGAGATGCTCAGCTCACTTGGACCATAATACTTTTCTGACTTGGCATCAAGAAAGTAAGAGTGCTCGTGACTTTAGACTAGGAAAACAGCTCTGCCATCATTGTTCAATTAGTTTAATCCACACTTACACCTTGCTAATGAGTTGTTGCCTGTCTGTCCCTCAGTGGTGGCTGTGTGGCCTGAAATATTAAGAGGAAGAAGGATGCTTATGTGAATTTCGAGAAATACAAAAAAAAATTGGAAAAAAATTCAGGCAGTATAAATTGGCATAGGTCAGTTAAAATCAATAATTTCTTAGACCAATTAGCTAGTTGAAAGGGATGTATTGTGAAAGAATTATTTCCTCATCAACATAGTTTTGTCACTCTAATTTAAAAAACCCATTAAAAAATTGTACTTCAATAAAAAAAAAAAAGCTAGTTGTGGCAAAAACCATTTTCTAAAATGCTGTTGATGGAGTGTTAAGAGTGATATCAGGGTACCATATTGTTAATGATAGCACTGAGGCTTAGTCACCCAAAGTAAGTCTTTTACCCTGTGGAGAACAGAGGGGGCTTTTGTTTAAATCCTTGTAGTTGTTCCAGTGGGTCAGTTTAGGCTGGTAATTCATGTGTCATCCTAAAGCTTTGTTTGTTTTGGGGTTTTTTGTTGTTCTTTTTTTTTTTTTTTTTAGTTTTATTTTTCCAAAGGGTAACTCAGTATATTTCTTTTCCTAAGAACTCTGTGAAAGAAAGAAATACTGTAAGAAGTCTTTAACGGAAAGGCCAGTAGAGAGGAAATGACTGATTTTAGCTTCACGGTGCTAACGAAATGCTGAGTGGAAAGTGTGAAGTGAACTGGGAAGAACCAAATGTGGCATTAAGGCTGTCTCTTTTAGGAGCCATGTGACAATGGCAAAGTTTTGTGCTGAATTTCACCAAACTGAAAAGAAGCCGCTGGAGCACCTACTGCAGTGCTGTCCTTAGAGTTTTCCTTCCACCTCTTAACAAGATGGAATTTCCAAGAATGTGGAAGATTCTGCTTATGGATCTTTGTGGCTCACACAATAATTTATGCTAGTTTTGATGTCATGATGCAAGGGTTGCTGGGTTTCTTTAAAGGTAGTTGGCATTGTGCTCCACTAGCTTTCAAAGACTCAATAATGTATGACACCCTCGTTATCTTGCTGCTTGTATACATTTTTAGATGACAAGTCAGTGTTAGACAGCTGTTTGGAACTGTAAAATTTCCGAAATGGCTACAGAGGAAAGAAGGGAAAAAAGCAGTATTGTGAGGAATGACTTAAAAACTAAACAAATCCAAGGTTCAAGTGCTAATCTGAAGCCTTAAATAAATTCTTAATGAATTTATGATGCATAGAAATTCATTACTTTAATTAGTAGGACTTTTAAGAGTTAAAAAGTTCAAAATGGTCTCTAGTGTTAAATAACCTGTCCCACATAGATCTTGTTGTTAGGCAATTATGCAGGCCATATGAAATCTATCCAACTTAAAATTTTGTCTTTACATTTATAAAACACACCTAAAAGCCTTTCAGCATGACTTCAATTAAAATAACTTTTTTTTGCCAAATTATTTACATACAGAATACTCTTGTTGTGCTGCTTATTTATAAAATCATACATAACTGGAAGAATATGAAAATATATTTTAAAAAAATGCAGTTTCTCAGAAAGAATAAGCATTCTCACAAGCAGTTGTGAATGAATTTATTCTGAATAGAATTACAAGTTAGCTGAATGTTTTTTCCTTTAAAAGTCACATTTATAACAAGTGTGTAGGCAGACAATAAGAGAACAGCGAGCAAGGGTGATACCTTTGTAGTTTTAAACAGAGATCTGCATTCTGCTTCACAGACCTACATCTCTGGATGGACGGATCCTGTGACCAACGCATAGCTAGACGAGGTTTACTCACATGCGCAGAGTCCGCATTTGCCACTTGTATTTGCCGGTTTTGGTAATAGCGTACTTCCTTCCATATATGCCATTTTTTGCATTCTGTCTCCTACAAAACTATGGCTCATGCTGTAATTTGAAATAAAGTGAGGCCACATTTGTTTGAAAATACTGATATGTCACTTACTCAAGTACAATTCAAGTATCACCTAAAAGTGCTTAAAAATACCGTGCATTCTTGGAGAAGAAAAATTTATTAGAAAAATGCAATTGACAATACCCTTTGGAATAAAGTTTTACAAGGAGCACTAAATGTCGCTGTGTGTAATGTGAGCCGTTTAAGCATTGGATTTATTTTTCAACACTTGTCAGTTTTACTTTCCTTCAGCATATTACTGAAACACAAAGAAGGTGCAAATATATTTAGTCACAAACACCTTTACATTTGTTTTGATTCATGTGCAACAAGTAGATATTCAACCATGAAGTGTGAAATTGATTGGCTTGCTTTTTGTGCAGTTACTGTATCATTATGTAGTCCTTGAACTTGTTTTGCCATCTTTGATTTCAGCAACAAGGTGTATTCTGTTATTGAGAGGAAATACGGTGCTAGAGAAGCCGCTGCTACTGCTGTGTAGCTAGCAGCAACAACAGTTGCTGTTGTTTGTGCTCCTCTCACTTTTCACAAGGCAAAACAAGAGTCCAGTACTTGTGTTGATTGATCTCCAACATATATCAGGAACTGCAGCATGGGAGTTGACAGCTCGTCACCTGCTACTCGTCCCTGTGAGCCAGCGTTGAACTAATGCTCTGGCATGGATGTGAGGGTGCTCTGTGGGAAATTCTGGCTTTCAGATGAGATCAAAGATCCCTACAAGTTACAAACAGTTTCAAAAAGCTGGAGGGTTCTTAATCCTGGTGCTCCAGCCAAATAGTAGTTTTGGCATAATTACGTATTTAGCTATAGTTCTGTGTATTAGCACTAGCTCTTGCTTTGTATGTCAAATGCTGTGTGGAGCTATCTACTCTAGAGGTAGCTGAGATTTATGGTTTTTAGTAAATCATGGACATAATCTGTATTTTGTGGTGTTTATATTTGCGTTAGTGCAAACTATTGTAGTGAAAATAGCCGAATAAGAAAAAATACTTTTAATGTTCTTTCATTTGGCATTAACAGATACGACTCTCAGGTGTTTCTTCAGTTATAAGGGACTCCACAGGACTCAAACAATTTTAATCGTTTCAAAGATAGCTAAATGCATTAAAAATTCTAGGAAGTAATTACATCATTCATCATTATTATTCCAAGCAGAAGAAAGAAATGGCCTTCAAATAGTTCTTTTGCACAATTATAAATAGATTATAATTTCCTAGCCTTGTTAAATGTAGTCCTAAACTTTACATGGGATGTTTTTCAGTTATACCTCATAGAACAGTTGATTGTTATTGGATGGTTTGTGCAGTTATGACATGATAGATTTGCTTTGCAGAAGTGGAAAAAATATTTTCTTTTGCAAATTATTTAAAAAATTACCCAAAAAGAAAATATTTTGAAAGTTTTATAAGTGCTAAAATAATTATGTGTAGGAATCAAGTTGCTTTTAAATTAAGCCTGGTTGTAAGCAGAGGGTATAAGCATTACAAAAAAAAGGCCTGGGGTGCTATTCCTCTATTTTTCCCATGGACTAACCCCAGCCTAATCTGTTGTTCTTCCCAAGGTGTCCTTGCTTAGTCTGAAAATGGTTTTGTGCTACCAAATGCTGGTTTGGATGAAGCAAGCAATCTCCCCGTTTCAGCTGCATAGTTTTCTCTTACCCTAGAGATGGTGCTGTCTCCAAGGTAGCCACTGGAAAGCAGAGGGCAGCCAGGGAGAGGGTGGAGAAGAGAAAAGGAGTGGAGCTTGTAGTCCAAATCTGTGGCCTGGGATAGATCTGAAGTTACAGATGAAGGAAAACAAAACAAAGTCCACTGACCTAAAGAAAGTTAAAGAGAGGAAGTGAAGTTACAGGAGAAAAGAGCAGGCTGGGAGACAGTCTTACCGGTAATGAGAGGAACAGAAGTTAAGAGTTAGTGTTCGAAACAGTACATCGTGGTGCTTGCTGTAGAAAAGTGTTGCCTACATAAAGACCATTTCACTCACTGGTCAGTGAATGCAGTAGAGACAGCTCACTTGTAATGCCAGTGCATGTGATTTCAGTAGTTCAAAACAGAACAACTATAGGATAAATATATAATTATCCTACACAGTTCCAGAGTATGAATGCAGAAGGCATCTAAAAGCACTGCAGGAAATTGACTGAAATGGATTTCGGTGTCTAAAGCCTGTATAAGACTTGGATCTTGTTCTGTGAGTATCCAGAGTTCATACGGTCTCTATAATGTCTGCAAAATATAAGGGCTTGGAAAAAAGACAAGGATTTTGGGTTAGTTGCTTTTCTTCAGGAAAACCTAATTTAGATAAATTTGAAAACACATACCAAGAAAAACTATCTTTGCTTGTCTTTGGTGCCTTCACCCTTTTGCAAGGTTTGCTCCAGCTCTGAATAGCATATGTTCATTGCTAATTCATGTAAATTTCTGAATGCAGTACATACTGTCCTTCTCTCTGGACTGCTAAACTGATTCCCCATTCATTTTGACATTCTGTTCAAATTACCCTTGTTTCTTTAAAAAAAATCTATGGTCTTGCTTGCTCCAGCCTGTCGTGCTGAACTTGTTTCTTACTGTAACCCTCTCTGCTCCCTCTGTTTGCATAGCACAGACTGACACCCTTTCCTTTTAGACAATCTCCTCACTGTTGTAAGAGCCTTCTCCTTTACATCTCCCGCCATCTGGAAGGGTGTTCTGCGACTGCCTTTTGACTTTCATACTTGTTTCAGAACTCAGTTGAAAACTCATTACTGTTTTTCCATTACGATTCCTCAAATTGTCACTCTTCCTCTGATGTTACTTAACTTTTAAGTTTTTTTTTAAACATAACTGTATGGAGGACTTTGTAATGCTTTGTATATAACAGATGCTACACAAAGTGAAGTATTGTAGACTACCTGTGGGCCTTCTCTTGTATGCATTTAAGTCAATTGTAAAGCTGCTGTTAACTTCAGTGTTTGCAGGCTTGGGCCTCTAGCACAGTTTTGTGAGAAACGCACACTCACAGATAAAAATGTAGAGAGGACAAAGTCTTCGAAGCAAAGATAAAAGTTTATTCCAGATCAAAATAAACGAATCAGCTGAGTCGCTAGTCTCCCCAAAAGAGCACACTTAGCTACAAAACTTCAGGTATTTATGTCCTGTCCCCTTTTCCCATTGGTTAGGTACTTTAGGGCGCACATTCTTTCATGACCCGTTAGCCTATCACAAACTCAATTCACACTTTTCTCCTTTTAAGGAGTTGTTTTTCTAAGTTACACAGCTCTGCTTGTGCTGTCGACACACAAAATGGCTGCTCAGAGCCCTGCTTGTGTCATCGACATACAAAATGGCTGAAGCAAAACAATTCCATTTCTCACAGTTTATATCAATGAAAGTCTTTACATCAGGAGTTTGGTATTTCAAAATAATAAATTATTGCTGTCCTGGGTGACTTCTTTCTCTCAAGGTGGCATTTGCTTTCCTTAGCTCATTTGTAGCTTTGGTAAGTTAATTTAAAAAAAAAAAAAAGTTCGGGTGGGGCGGAATTTGGCAAAACAGTTATCTTCTTTGTTCCTAATGTGTTTGGAGCAAATAAGCTCCTTCTGCTCACATGCTGACAGGAGGCTAGGAAAATTACAGCAGTGTAATGTTCACCTGACAATATAGACAAAAGGTTTTTAATGGTAGTGGTGGATGTTGCTAAAAGTGGAATGGAGTGAGGGAGAGTAAGTGGTTGCTAGTACATATAAGAGGCAGAGGCTTTATCTGTCTCTTACTAGAATTCACAAGCAATGTTCTTTTGTCATACATAGTAGTTGAAAATTTGTTGAGGCTAAGCAAAAACATTTTTTTGCTTGTCCTTCCTTTGGACAGCTTGACCTTCTCTGGCCATTAAGGTGGGAAACCCAGAGATGCTTTGCTGCAGTTGTTTATTTCCTTTCCTCTGTGTCTTGTGGCCTCCACTGGATTGGGTTTTTTTCTTATTTTACTTTTGACAGTGTTCCACAGCCCTGGTCAGAATACTATTGCAAAAGAACAAGTATTAGTGTTCTCTTAAAATAACCAAAGTTTGTATGTTTCCACAGTTGCCGCAGCTACAGTTATTTGCACATGATTCAGCAGGTTGTAATTCATGCTAGGCTCTTTCCATGAGTAATTAACCTATTAATATGGTGTAGTACTTGTATTTGTAACCATAAATGAGTACTTGAATATGACCCTTAAGCTATACCTTTTTTAAAGGGACAAATGGAAAACCTAAGCAACATTTAGATTAAGGAAAAGTATGCTGTCCTGAAACATCCTCCAGTTTATCCAAACGTGTTCATAGATACAGTCATCCTATACGGTACTCCTTGTCTTCCAGCACTGTGTTGCCATAATGATAAGATTTACCATCTTTTTACCTTCTAATAGACTCTGTAATCCTGTTTTAGCAGCTCCTGGATTGTCATGACCAAATCATTGACTTGGGCAATATCCCATCTGATTCTAAGCTTTGATTTCTCACTGCCTGGTTGGCACATCATGTATCTCAGATTGCCAGGTCCAATTCACAAGCGCTAGTGTTTTTTGTTAGCTCTTGCCTATCAGTTTGGTATTGTCCAGAACACAAAGAAAAGATGTCTTCTGTGTGAGGTAATGCAGTTAAGACAAAACCATAAGGTGGTTCATCCAGGGTTGAAAGAGTTAAATTTTAATCTTTTTGTGTGTGTGGATCTAAAGGTGCTATTAAATTTCACGTCTGATGCAATTCTTGGGCAGTAACAGTACAATCATGTTAAGTTGCATTAATAACATCCCACTTACAGATAGAGGAAAGTTGCATACGTAAGCAAACAGTACTGAATCCATCATGGTTATATCTCCTGGTGAAATTATTTTTCTTTCCTCCACAAAAGTACCACGATGCAAGGTGGGAGGTTTGACCCAAAATCTCAAGTACACAAAATTGTCAAGTACGAAGTATGTACTGTGACTGATGAGTCTGTACAAATGTTCTTTTTATTTACAGGTACCTTGAGCTGGTACTACTATGTGACTATGCCAATGCCAGCATCCACCTTCACTATTGCCGTGGGGTGCTGGCAGGAAGTTAAACAGCAGTCCTTCACAGCTGCTATCCAGACAAACACTGAGTTTTCCTTACCATCTTCACAAGCTGATTTCAGGTTGGTGTTTAGAATATTGTTGAAAAATAAGATATAGGGGCAGTGTTTTAATTTACTCTGTGGAATGTGAAAATGAGTCATATTAGTACAAGAATCAAAATAGAACTTGTTTATTCTGAACAGAAAAATCTTGACAGGAAAAGAATTCCAAAGGCATTATTTCATGGGTAAGGGTGTGGTTCTTTTTATGTGAAAACAAGCTGCTTAGTGAGCAATAGGGTTAATAAATCCCAGTGTCATCTGGATATGCATCCTACATCCTGTGTCTCTTAATGCCCTGCCACAGCAATACCAAGTCCTCCCTTGTTTCTTACAAAGATCTTCCATGTTACTAGACTCAGTCCGTTCGGGATACCTAATGACCCCTACTACAATATTGCCTACTCACTCTCTTCTTTCTTCCTGTCCAGTCCCATCTCAGAGCTGGCCTGTGCAGTGGCTTCCCTGGAGTGACGTGTCCTGACTGGGTACATGAAAGCCCTGTTGCACTGGTCCCATAAACTAAAGTTGGACCAATAATTCTTTTCAATAAAAAATAACCCTGTTTTCTAGTACATGCAGTGGCTACTTAGCTGTCTTTCACCAAACGTGTAGAAATGTAATTATTTTGGGTACATCTATTCCTCCTTCCAATCTAGTCAAAACTGCTCATTGAGTTTAAATTATTACACAGTGATGGATGAACGGAACAATACTATATAGGTATAGTATTGTATATAGGCCTGCAAATGGGATTTGAAGCTAAAAATTAAGTGTCTGAAGAAATACCACTTGTTTCCATGTGTATTCATCGTAGTTAGCAGAAGTTTCAGACATGGCACTTGATTTCCTCATGTATTACTCTCAGCTTCTCAAATTCATAGAGTCATAGAATCACAGAACACCCAGTTTGGAAGGGACCTTGAAAGATCATCTGATTCAGTCTTTCATGGGAAGGGGAACTTAGATGTGGTTATCTAGCACCCATTGCCCCTTGTCTACTCCATGTGGTTCCTTGTGAAGAAGACGCATTTGTGCCCTTTGTAAATGCTGTTTCAGTATGGGAATACCGTGATAAAGTTCCCCTGAGCTTTCTCCACCTCGCCTCGCCTCACTTCACCTTCCTTCCCCTCACTTCCCCTCACTTTGCCTCCCCTCTCCTCATCAGAAGGGATCTGATTTCCCTCTGTTGCTGCAGTGGTTCACTGGTGACTCATGTTCGGCTTGTTGTCCACCAGGAACCCTTGGGCCCCTTTCAACAAGGCTCCCCAGACACATAGATCATAGCCTGTGCTGCATTCTTTGGTTATGTCATACCAGGCGCAGGACTTTGCACTTGTCTTTGCTGAACTCCCCACTGTTCTTGCTAGCCCACTCCTCTGGCCTGTCCAGGTCTGTCTGTGAGATGGCTCTCCCTTCTGACGTGTTCACCTCCCCACCCAGTTGGGTGTCATCAGCAAACTTGGTGAGGGTGCTTTCAATCCCATCATCCAGGACATTTGCAAAGATGTTGAACAGCGTAGGGCCTGACATTGATCCCTGGAGGACCCCTCTTTTGACAGGCTGCCAGCCTGACAGAAAACCATAGATAACCACTCTCTTCAGTGTGGCCTGTGAGTCAGTTTCCTACCCGTCTCACAGACCACAGGTCCAGTTTGTATCTTGCCAGTTTGTCCAGGAGGAGGCTGTGGGAAACTGTGATGAATGTTTTGCTGAAGTCCAGGCAAACAATATCCACTGCTCGCCCCGTGTCAACAGAAAATGTTGTTTTGTTGTAGAAGGTGATCAGGTTAGTCAGGCTGTAAGTATTTTTTTCAGTTATGTAACTGGAAACTTAGCCAAAACAATGCTTGCCTTTTAGATAGCTGTTTTGGGCTAATACTGTTTTAACATGAACACAGTGGAAATCCTTACCGCTTTGGTACAGCTAGAGAGACTTTGGAACTTGAGGACCTAATGGGGATTTCTTATTGGAATTTAAAATGAAAGGATCCTAATGGCTTGCAGTTTAGCTAATTTTGGTTTTAAAAAAAATTCCGCTAAATCTTAAGACCGGGAATTTTTATATTTTACCTAAGATTAGTAACACATGCCTATTCAAGCTTTAAAATAGTTTATAGGTTGATAAGCTTTAAGAAATTGTTTTGTCTTTATTCCTCTACTATTTATATGTTTATGAATGCCTCTACTGAAATAAGCTGTAGATGTTCACTATATATTCCTTTCTAATGTACAGCATGTTCAGTAGTAGGAATTTTTATTGGTTTGGTGCAAAAGATTGGTCTTACAGAGTGTTGATAGAATAAATGAATGTCTCTGGTTTTTGTAAAACTTCTGAAAAAAAGGAAATATTTTTGTAGCTTTTAAAATTAGTAAAAGTTTTAATTGGTGTAATAGTCATTGTTATGAGTCAATCAGTGTGGTGGTCATTGGAGAAGTTAATTGATGCAGGTAGTGTAATGTATCTGCAGCAGATGAGTTAGTGACAGTGGAAGAAGCAGAACTAATGTGTTTTGGAAAAAAAAAACAACTGACAAAAAAAATCCTCTGCAAGGGTGGTGTCTATTATGCATAGAAAAAAAAAGGAGAGCCTAAGTTCACAAGCTTGTTTTGCAGTTAATTAGGACATAACATCTTTGTTGGCGACATGGACAGTGGGATTGAGTGCACTGTCAGCAAGTTTGCTGACGACACCAAGCTGTGTGGAGTGGTCGACATGCTGGAGGGAAGGGATGCCATCCAGAGGGACCTGGACAGGCTTGAGAAGTGGACCCACGCAAACCTCATGAAGTTCAACAAGGCCAAGTGCAAGGTCCTGCACATGGGTCAGGGCAATCCCATGCACAAATACAGGCTGGGCAGAGAATGGATTGAGAGCAGCCCTGAGGAGAATGACTTGGGGGTGTATGAGAAGCTCAACATGAGCCAACAATGAGCGCTCGCAGCCCAGAAGGCCAACCATATCCTGGGCTGTATCAACTGGATTCGAAGGTGGATCGGCATGTAACTGGGCTCACTAGAGAGGCGCCTGGCTTTAGTAGCTCAGCACTTGTGGGGCAGAGTGGTAGTATTTTTGAGAATCAGAAGGCCCATCACCCCTCTAGGGCAAAACCTACATACTCATTGGCCTCTCTGAAATGCCTATGCACTAATGCACGCAGCATGGGGAACAAACAAGAAGAGTTAGAGATCTGTGTGCAGGACCATGATCTCACTGCAATTACTGAGACATGATGGGATAGCTGACATGAGTGGAACGCTGTCATGGAGGGCTATGTTTTCTTCAGGAAAGATAGGCCAGCGGGGCGAGGTGGTGGAATTGCTCTTTATGTGAGAGAGCAACTGGGATGTATCGAGCTCTCCCTGGAGGTGGGTGAAGAGCAACTTGAGAGCTTGTGGGTAAGGATCAAGGGGCAGGGCAGCATGAGAGACACTGTTGTGTGTGTTTATTACAGGCCACCTGATCAGGATGGGGAAGTTGATGAGGACTGCTACAGACAGGTGAAAATTGCCTCATAATCACAGGCCTTGGTTCAGATGGGGGACTTCAGCTACTGTGAGACCTGCTGGGAAGACCACACAGCTAGGCATGTACAGTCCAGGAGGTTCCTCCAGTGCATTGATGATAACTTTTTGACTCAAGTGGTGGAGGAGCCCACAAGGAGAGGTGTTCTACTGGACCTAGTACTGCCAAACAAAGAGGGACTGGTGGAGGATGTTAAGGTTGGGGGCAGACTTGGCTGCAGTGATCATGGGAAGATAGAGTCCAGAATTAAGTGCAGTATGCACAAAATGACAAGTAGGGTTGAAACCTTAAACTTCAAGAGGGCTAACTTTGATCTCTTCAAGGAATTGCTTGGAGAAATCCCATGGGAGAGGGCTCTAGAGGGTAAGGGGGCTCAAGAGAGCTTGCTAATATTTAAGCGTCACTTCCTCCAAGCTCAGGATTGGTGCATCCCTAAGAGCAAGAAATCAGGCAAGGAAAGAAGGAGACCTGCATGGCTGAGCAGGGACCTTCTGAAAAAGCTCAGGTGGAAGAAGGGAGTTTACAGTATCTGGAAGAAGGGGCTGACCACTTGGGACGAGTATAAGAATGCTTCCAGGGTATGCAGGGATGAAATGAGGAAAGCCAAGGCAGCCTTGGAATTGAACCTGGCAAGGGATGTCAAGGCCAGTAGGAAGGGTTTCTTTAAGTATATAGGAGGCAAAAGGAAAACTAGGGAAAATGTAGGCCCGCTGTTGATTGAGACAGGTGCCGTGATGACAGATGATGCAGAGAAGGTGGAGTTGCTGAATGCCTTCTTTGCTTCTGTCTTCACTGCTTGGGCCAGCCCTCGGAAGTCCCAGACTTTGCAGGTAACATAGAAAGTCTGGATGAAGCAAGACTTTCCTTTGGTTGAAGAATCATAGAATTGCTGAGGTTGGAAGGGACCTTTAAGTTTATCAAGTCCAACCATTAACCTAACCTGACAAAACCACTTCTAAACCATGTCCTCAAGTACCACATCTACCCTTTTTTTTAAACGCCTCCAGGGATGGCAAATCCACCACCTCCCTGGGCAGCCTATCCCAATGTTTAATAACCCTTTCAGCGAAAAAATTTTTCCTAATATCTAATCTAATCCTTGTCTGACTTAACTCAAACCCATTTACTCTCGTCCTATCACTTGTCACCAGGGAGAAGAGGTCAGCCCCCACCTCTCTACAACCTCCTTTCAGGTAGTTGTAGAGAGTGATAAGGTCTCCCCTCAGCCTCCTCTTCTCCAGGCTAAACAACCCCAGTTCCCTCAGTGGTTCCTCACAGGGCTTGTCCTCCAGACCCCTCACCAGCTTTGTAGCCTTTCTCTGGACACACTCCAACACCTTCTTGTAGCGAGGGGCCCAAAACTGAACACAGTACTCGAGGTGGGGCCTC